AGAGAGAGAGAGAGAGAGAGAGAGAGAGAGAGAGAGAGAGAGAGAGAGAGAGAGAGAGAGAGAACACTGACATAGGATGATAGGAGTGCCAGAAAAGGAGCCAGAAGGTGGACAGAGAGGGTCGAGGAGGGGGCCCAAGAAGAAACGAAAATTGGTCATCGGAAGGAGGAACTTACGACATTCGCTGCATGAAGTTCAGATGCTTGCACCAGTTGAAGACGATTGGGTTGTGTCTTGAGAAGAAGATTTCGACGGACCCTAACGCCCAACTGTGGAAGAAAAATCAGACAGAGATTGGACTCGTCAGTTCGCAGGTGACCGCAGAACTGATGCAACCGCGTTCCGAATGCAGAATGAAAGCGTCTAAGTAGAGTTCAAATCAGAAAGCCAATCCGAAGTTCATTGACATCAATCAGTGCCCCGATGTTGCATGCTTCAATCAAGTAATCAACCGAGCCACCGAGCTCTTTAAATGCACCAGGACATGTCACTCGTCTGGGGAAAGGTGGCCGCACACAGCGCAGAGTGCAATGTAACTGTGGACGTCCACTCAAAGCCTGACGACCTGACGAATTTCAGGTAATGTTTCACAGAACTCCCCACCTTCCATTTTGTTAAGCACTGTAAGGGGGTTGTGGACGTCCACTCAAAGCCTCAGACTGATCACGCTCACAGTTTAAATACAAATCAGATCACAGCACCTAAATGCGGAGAAGATCAAGGCATTTCAATAGAGAGAAGTTCAAGGCACCTCAATAGAGAGAAGATCAACAAATACCCCGCTGACCAATGTGGGGTCTCTGTGAGGAAAATGTACTCACCGCAAGACCTGGCCAAGTCGATCCGTAAGATTGATTGGCGCCGTTCCCTGAGGCATTCAAAACAAGCTATTATTAGCCACGGAAGTTTGGAACGAGTTTAAAAGCAGCTGCTGACCTTGCGAACAGCGATTGTTAAACAAATTGCAAGCCAACGTGACGACAGTCACGACACCCATCTTGACAACACAAACACTACCTTCTTCACCCGAATAGAACGCTCGGCCTTTATAGTTGTTTACCAGTGTTTGGGGAAACATTCTGCCTGGGTATGGTGATAATGACGAGCCATTCTATTCGGGCAAAGACGGTAGCCACAAATCACGCAGCTACGGCGAAATTACTGAAAAGGCACAGAAAAAAACTGATGACACGCAACCACAGGTTCTCGACAATGGACCATCCGCTCAACCCATCTGTTCGGCTTACTGAAAAGGCACAGAAAAAAACTGATGACACGCAACCACAGGCTCTCGACAAGGAAATTCTTTCATTCTGAGTGTCGACTTTCCACACTGAATCCACGGCCTTCAACGCTTAAAGACTTAAACCCCAGCCAGATTCATGACGAAAGCAGACCGTTCCTTGCTTGACACGCACAGACTAAGATCGTATCTTGTTCTGGATGTTTGGTTCTAGGTATACAATCATATTTCGACGGCTTCGTCTAACGAGAAGCACGAGAACATAGCACTTCAGTCTATCAACTTTCTGATAGCTGCTTTACGGAAATACATTAATATACACCAACAAAAAAAAAAACACATTAACACATCGTCACATACAACATCACTGAAATTATGAAAGAAGGCCTACGCTCGAATTGTTTTTATTGCCAACAAACGAAAAGACAAAACACGGTGAAATTTTGAAGTCAGTCGCAACTTCGGTCATTATGTACGCTCGAGGGCGCCCACTGCCACACTGAGGTTCTGAGAGGGCAAATACGATAAAAATAAAAGACTTGTTTACCACTGACGATGAAAAGAGAGGCACGGTTACTGGCAAATGGTCCGTCCTTGTGCTAGCCGGCCCCCCACCAGCGGCCCCAACCCTGCACCCTAAACCTTAGGGCTAAGCGGCACACAAGTCGTTTCATCTCTCTGTGCCTCCCTTCACCGAGGAGATACAAAGCTATGGATGCAGGGGTTCCCTGTATAGCTTTAGGAGTAGTGGTAGCCTGGTGGTAGGTAGTGAAAGAAAGATATGTTTCATGACATGGCAGAACGCCAGTTAAAAAGATGCGAGATTAGAGGAAAAATATAAGGCTGTTCCCCGATGAGAAGGCAGTTATATAAAAAAAAAAAAAATCATAACAACACAAAAAAAAAGTTCTAAACCTATGAAAAAGCTGGCGAGATTAAACACAAATCTTAAGAATTGGCAAAAAAAAAAACAATTTTTCCGTTCATCCTCTCCAGACTTCAGGTAATTCTTTATGGTTCTGGAAGACTGGAACCTTTTCCCACTCGTTTACCTTGAACGCTGACCTCTTGGGCATGCAGTAGACTGAGTACCATCCGTTCACATGCATGTTGTAGCCCGTCACAATATCTTCCGTAACTGATCCATACATCCACCCAACCTGGAGCCATCCAAAAGCACCAAGCCATCAAACGGACAGAGCGATGTGTTAGCACCCTTGGCATGACAATCGCTTAAAGGATATGAAGGCAGCAAGCCGACGGGGACACTGAGCCCGACGGGCCATGCGATAAATGGGCAGACGTACCTATGAAATATCAAATGACCAACAACATTCCGCTCATGAAGCGGAGCATGTCACCATAAGGGCCACCCTTTACCATTGCATCTGTACACTCTTTTGTGCCGTTCCTCGAGCCCCCGCTGCTCACTTAGCGCCTCTAAAATGCCAACGAAATAAATTGGTGCCTTTGAAAACCTTTCATCACCCCCTGCCTACGGACCAGACCATTGACATGGAGAATGAACTGAGCATTCACTTCGCACGACTCTCTTTTTACAAGACATGGGCGGATTCAACTCAGACGCATACGATTAGGAAAGAGATAGCAGAAGAAGGCAACAGAGTCAAAGACTCGAAACAACAGACCATAGTCACGAACGAACTTCGTGGAGTTAAAGAAAGAAACACCGACTGGCAATAAGGGAAAGACTGGAAGGATTGAGAGAATAGATAATCTCACCGTTTTCCCCCACTCAGTGTCGTCTTCGTAACCGCACGAGATCACCAAGATCACATCGCTGAGGACCTGATACGGATCAACATCCTGCAGACACAGGGGGTACACAGAGGTGACAGAGTGCAAGTTAGCATGACTCAAGCCCTGACAAACACAACTCAGACTTTGAGCAAACTTTTCCGTTGGAATAATAATCACGTCCCCTTACGTCCCTTCACCCTCTTACCCCCCTTGGGCTGACTTCGTAATCCAATGCACTATGAAGCCCGCTGATGTTGTCATAGATCCGTCCTGTAGCTCCAATGACCTCCTCAGAGATGGACCCCCGATCCTGAAAGGAAATGGACTGTGTTCGGGAGAATCGGGGCCACGAGGAACTGATAGGACTGTGTTCGGGAGAATCAGGGCCACGAGGGACTGATAAAGAGGAACATAAGCCGACTCGGAAAGGAGGTCGGTCAAGAGCAGACAGGCGCTGCAACCACTTATGCCCCGCTGCTGATGTGGCACAATGCTGACATGGTCGGAGACTGATGCCCGTAGTACCGAGAGGAGGAGAGAGAGAAGGATGGGTGGAAGAATGGCAGGGAGGCCAACAATGCACAGACAGTCCCTTTCTTCCCTGACCTCGAAGCTTGACACTAATAAAAAAAAATCCCCCCCGCCCCCCGTGAAAATTTCGAATTTTGAGAAATTAAATATTTAATTATTTAATTAAATCAAATTTAATCGGAAAATAAGAGTTTAATAAATTTTAATTTTGGCAAAAGATTAAATATATAATTAAAGAATATTTAAATTTGCAATAATTAATTTTGCAAAAGTTAAATATTTAATTAAAGAATATTTAAATTTGCACAAGTAAAAACGAATAAAAAGCAAGTTTAAACATTTAAACAAAATTTTAATAATTTCACGAAATTTAATCGGGAGAGTTTAGCATCATTACGAGGTCATGAAGTACGAGATCAATGGTTGTAGGAAGATACACGATTTGCTTTTGCAAAAAGTGCAAGTTCCGTGAAGTTACAGTTTGAATGTGGCCGTGCTCAGGCCCGATCTGCCTTAACTGGCCCCGTGCCTGACTGGCACTTACTTCCCATAGTTTTGATAGGTCGTTTAGATTAGGTTAGGACTAACCCTAATTAGTGCTAATTAGGTTAATCGTGATTAGCGATTCCCGAATTTGCACAGTATGGAGAAAAGTCGCAAACCTAAAATTATAATTCAACGACCTAAAATTATAATTCAACGACCTAATTACTATGTAAGTACGAGAAAAGAAAAAAAATTGCAACTTGCGATTTAATGATAACAGAGTACAGGTCTAGATAATCAATCAATCAATCAATCAATCAATCAATCAATCAATCAATCAATCAATCAATGGTGAGTCATCCAATGCTGCTCCGCTCCGATACCAAACTGTTGCATACTTGTGAAACACAGTCATAAGTATGGCGCAGATTCCCAGAACCGACAAGATAATACAGAGTTAATACAAATACAGCGGAAGACTTGAGATACATGGACTGACTCTGACCTGACTTGGACTGCAATCGAACACTCTCGATCATACATCAGGGGTGTGAAAGCCCTGGCCTTGGACATAGACGAAAGGCCAGGGTCTGAGATCATCCATGGACGAATGAAGGAGAGAGACAAAGGGAGGAGGAGAGGGTCAACTCAATGTTTCCAAAGATAGTATCTTGAATTGTCAGAGGTAGTGAAATTCCGAAATGTCGCAAACACAGTATCTCACAATGTCTCAGATATCGATCTCACAATGTCAAGTACATCTCCAGAGGAAGATGACATCAGATCCCACGAGTAGTCCTCAACCTATTGTCCCAATGTCACTGTCTCCAACTTGAATGTCATCAGAATTCGTAACCATCCTTCATACTCGTAGTAGTTCCGTAGGAGAACCCAGAAGTAGACTTAGACTTAGAAGGTAGGAGGAGAGAGAGAGAGATAGAGAGGTGGAGGAAGATGGGGGAGAGAAGGCAGAGCCTTCCTCCCGGGTACATGTCACGGTAGCTATGGCGCTGAAAGGGCTGGCGCTGGGCCACGGGCTGGGCCTGTGGCTGGCGCTGCTCCCAATGCGGCTCTACTTCCTCTGCTGCGGAGCTCCTCTCCTCGCTGCTCCTCGTAATGCTGCAGCACTGCGCCTTAGCTACCGTGACAGTGCCCAGGCTGATATTACGAATGAGAATATTGAGGCCGGGGTCAGTCTACATGGAGTAACGGAAAGGACAACTGCTGAGAAATACTGAGAACTATACTATATCTGCCAATCTGGCTTCCTAGGCCTAGCTTAACTCCTAGCCCTCCTTAACCCAGGAGTTTAAGAGCTCAAAGAATACCATCCGCACCAACGTCACCCATAGCTGTTCTCTTCTCGCAAGCTAACAGGCCCCCCGGGTTCGCCTAAACTGAACCGGTACCTGGCCTAAACGAACTATCCGTTGGGTCTGGTGGGGTCTATACGAGGCCTACCGGACCCTAAACTGAACCGACGGGTCCTAGGCCTACCTGGACCTAAACTGGGCCGTCGTGACCTGTTCCTAGGCCTAAACTGAGCGTGGTATTTCAGAACCGGGCCCTAACTGGGGCCCATGTGGTATCAGTATGCCACCGTAATGCTTCTAGATGGACGGTTCGGAACTTCGGGTACTGAAATAGTGTAAACAAGACAGACTACGCTTTCCACCCGGGCACAAGGCAGTTGAAGGCAGCCTGGAGGGGATTACTGATGCCCTTATTGTGTCCGACAGAAGCCGCAGAACTGTTATGTACGCTCCGATATTGATCACCGATGGGATTCTCACCAATGTTGGCAGCACATGCATGTCCCCAGCAATAGATGGAGCCTCAGAAACAACAGCGAGCAGACCTACAACGCCAGGGTTGCCCTGGAGCTGCAGGCTGGTCGTTGAAGTCCGATTTTTTTTTTTGTTTGCATTCATAGCGGACGAGGACAGTTCCGATCATCCTCATTCACTTACACGAACATTTAGGCTCATGGCATATCCAGCATCGCATACATGACATAATGAACTTCGAAATACGACGGTGAGAACGAGCTTTTCATCGGACGCCTTACCGGCACACCTCCTTCAGCGTCAACGACAGTTGCCACAAAGTTGGGGCAAGCGCCAAACCTCTTCGCGTGCCACTGGGTCGGTATCAGCCGCACATCATCATCTGAACAAACGCATACAGATGACCAACGCCACAAACAAAAAACATACAACCGCACGCACACACAGACATGCATGTACTTGCTCCCACACGGAAGCACGCACGCAACCACACACACAGGCACACACGTGCGCAAACACACACACGCTCATATACAAGCAAGCACGCACGCAACGCAACCACACACACACACACACAAAACCAACCAAACAATTATGTCGTCAATGCGTTGCTGAGGGCCGTATGATTAATGATAATAATCAATAATTGCTCGAAAGCCATACACTCTCGGGCACGAATAAAGTGTGATGGAGAGAGAGAGAGAGAGAGAGAGAGAGAGAGAGAGAGAGAGAGAGAGAGAGAGAGAGAGAGAGAGAGACCACTCCAACGGATCTCAACGATTGCCGTTAAAAAGATGGTGATGTAGAGAAGGAGAAAATACGCCACTCCGAAGTTACTCGGTATTCGCTGCGATCCCGTTGTTGCTTTTTGTTTCCTTTCCTTCTTGATATACCAGCACTTTTATATTCCAATCAAGAATCATTGTACATTGCTAGAGGCGGTACGCAAGTAAACGTGCCACCACACTTCCACGTCATCTTTTGGCGCAATGGCACTTTTCCCAGCTCGTCGTTAGTGCACCAGTTCTCGGTAATAGCGTGATGTCTGCTACATTTCGTAGCTTGTCTGTGTCCGTTTGAGCTTGAATGCATGCGTGCATGAGCGTCTATTTGGTATTTGACTGTTTGAGCTTGAATGCAGTGCAAAGGGTTAGTTTGTGGCAACGCTCACTTGAACGTCTCCAGTGTAAACAGTGTAAAGGGTTAGTTCGCGGCCTACCTTCATGATCTTCATCCCTCTCATCCCTATCTGCACGACCCCGATCGCGATCTCCTGGCATAATGGCACTCTTAAGATTCCTCTCAGCAGATGCCTTTCTTTTGGTCGGCCAGCAACAGCAGCATGAACTGCCTTCTCCCCGACGTTGGGGAACAAACCCGTACAATGCCTGTACATGCATTTACAACATCCAACACAACCGTGAACAACGGAACGAAACGGAAAGGAGAGCAGTACGTTAAAATAAGGAAGACATTGAGAAACAGCGAGGACAATGAAATACAATATGATGGAGGACATATGAGAACATCAACAGATACATATCTATATATATATCTATATATATATCCAGAGAGAGAGAGAGAGAGCATAGTTTTGTGGTATCAAAGCGTATATAGAAAGACACACCTGTCGTCTGAAGCAGCAACCCGTTCCGACGTAGCACGGCCCTTGCGCACCGTCAAGTCCTTTCATGTTGACGTCGAAAAAGACGGTGTTATGGTTAGCATATCGATCGTTCTTGTCAACACCGTCGAACCGTTGCGGGAACTGCACGTAGCAAACCTTGTGACCTCTGTTGGGATCCATCAGGAAGCACATAGCCTGCACACATATGCACCGAGGACGTGGGCGTGCGGGGACACACGGTCAGCCTTCGTGTGTTCTGCGTGTGTGTGTCTGGTTTTGTAAAATAGTGCGTTGAGGCCATTGAGAGGGTACGAAGAAAGAGAGAAGGAGAGAGAGAGAGAAAGGGAGGGAGAGAGAGATGGAGTAAGAACAGGATGTCGATTGTGATTCACGACCAGGCATAGGTCCTGGCTGCAAGGTCTCCTCACCTCCCTCAGCGCCTTGGAGTTGTTAACGTAGTGATCACAATCCAGATTAAGAATGAAGGGCCCGTTGGAAATCAGTCCACTTGCTCGCATCAGTGCGTTCATGGCCCCCGCCTTCTTGTTGTGGTCGTACCCCGGTCTTTTCTCTCGAGAGACATAGACCAAACGTGGGAGAGGCTTCCCCGCCAGGTCCTTCGTTTCCCCATCGGGCTGCAGGAATACCTGAATCATGCCGACGTGATCGCTTCTCTTATTTCCTGGCCACATCGACCCGTCTGCCATTCTCCATCCCTCGGCCGGCGCGTTTTTGGACTTCGCAACAAGTGCGTTTATGCGCACCTTAAATTCATCATACGCTCGCTGCAAAAACCGGACATCAAGGGAGTGGGAGGTGAGCGAGGCGCAAAAGCACCCGTTGCTATATTCATATCATGTGAACAATTCAACCTGGAAGAAAACTCACAAGACCTCAGAATACCCATGGATCTCTTCAGGAATATGGATGAAAAGCTCATGATGCTTCACGTCAGGTTAGGGAAGAATAGGCACTATTAGTGAGACTAAAACACAAATCAAGGGTGAGGAATGATAATGGGAGGGGAAAATCTAGGTCAAATACACAGGCAGGACATCAGGAACGGGCTTGATGATAAGAGAGAATTTGGATGTTATAAAGATCAAGGGGAGTAGGAGGGAAGACGGAACAATTGGGGGCCCCGGGGGGGTGGAATGGGTCTTCTTCCCACTGGGGGGAGGGTTGGGGGGGAAGGGGTGCCTTCCTCTAGATTGCTAGCTCCCAGAGGGGGGAAGTCGACGGCCCAAGAAGCTTGTCGCGTCATCGGGAGGAGTCTCCCGGCTACAAGCGGTCGGCTTTCCCAACCTGGCACTTTGAGGGGGAGGAAACTCCGTTAGCTGTCTAGAGGTCGCAATGCTCTATCTCGAGCCTCGAGGTTTTCTTTCCTCTTTTTGAAATTTTCCCAATGTTGTGTATGACATTGTATCTGCTTGCTGACGTTGCTGGTGATAAACAACAGGAGTGCGGCCCCCCCAGAATAGATGGGCCTTGAGTATGTTTTGTTAAAAAGCAACAAATCACATGTGCTGTATTGCATGATGTGGCATTTATTGAAAATTACGATACATGGTGGCATTGGTGGGTAGAATTGTTAATCATAAGATAAGACACATTTGCAGACATGGTCCGATACTTAGCGTGACTCAGCTTGACAAAAGCACAAACAATGAACGCAGAGCTTAGCAGGTGGGGTGGGAGGCAAGCCAGATGGACGATCCCGAGGCGGTCTTTTTATATAAACAGAAATTTTGATAAGGATCACAATTTCATTTGACTGTTCTGCATTCTCCCCCATGCCCCCGCTAATTATAGTGTTTGGATGACGATGGAAAACACAAGGGACAGGGCCCAATGGTGCTATGTTCATGCATATACTTGGAAAGCATGAATAGCGGCCAGGTTTGTGCTTTGGTACCATAGCCATACCACCAGTGGTGCCTGGCCCAAATAGCGACGTCAAAGTCGTGCCTATCGCTCCCGGAAACTCCTATTACCCCGTCTCACTAGACCGAGCATTTTACCTGCCTTGTTTTTACGACGTAAATGGTTCTATGTTCCCCAAATTTGCACGAAAACTCACAAAAAGATGAAATGTTATCCACAGACACAGACGTTAGCGAAAACACAGATTTCGATCCAGAATGAGACTTCACAAACTTTTCAACTGTCAGAGGGTGCTCCGCTCTACTCACATCTTGAAGGGGTATTTTAACATACGCGTGAGCTTCCAGGGGCATTTTGCAAATTTTCCCCACACGTTACATCTCAGTGAAGGGACATTGTCCACATGTTCTTAATGCTGTCCACATCCCCACAGTGCCCACACCCTACCCCAGAATTTTATTGAGTGGGTACTTTGATTCATAATATTGAATGGAATCCAGGCCAAGGTGCCAAATTCGTTTGGAATGCAGGGACTTTTGCTCAATTGATTAAAAAATAGGACTACTTCTCAAAACATATAAAATTTGATTTGCACAAAAATTAACACGATACGCCAAAAATGCGCCCATAGCACTCAACAAAATGGGTATTAGTTTGACCGATGCAGAGAAGATGACCATCATGACCATGACCCCTTGGTAAGGATTACACGGACAAATCGTCCAAGCCTTCTTCAATCAAAATAAATAAAGAAGTGCGCAAATACCCGCTATGGACTTGCGACCAAATCAACGGATTCAAGATTGCACGCTGATCTTAAATCCGCCAGTAGAGAATTACACGGTCCATGACCCTAAAAAATAAAAAAAAAGAGGGGAAACCGTGGCTGTGGCACACTTTTAGTTTGAAATAGCCAAGAAAAGACAAAGTGGCGCCGATGTCATCATGTGAGTTTCGAAATGTGCAAGTTTAGCGGGGGTCTAAAACTGCACCAGTCATTACCCACAGTGGCGCTTGGCCGATTACGGGTCGCCTTTTTTGCTCCATATAGGGAACTGCTAAAGTCGCCTATTCTAAACGTTGGGTGTCAGTACAACGTACTTGGCCCCCTCCCMCCTCCCCCCCYCCCCCCCCCCCCAAAAAAACAAAAGGGTCCTTGTTCGTAGCGTAGGTACTCGGGAGTATAGATATCATCATTTCAGGATCACCGACGATTCACCGTACCTTCATGTGCCTTCTCTCCTTGATGAAGTCGGGTGACGTCTTCCCCTTTGTGTAATCGAATTTCTGCACAATTCCATTGTAATACAGAGAATCTGAATTAGCTACTCCGGAAAGTCGGCAAGATCGAAGAGACGAACTGAAAAAAAAACAATTTAGCATCACTATCCTCGTCATGCCAATATACATCAGCAGATTCAACACTGCCATCAGCGTCAGCAACGACTGAAGAACCAATAGATTGGATCCCTGTAACAAGTACATATAAACAGCTGCCATTGTTTGACATGGGGATGATGGGGATGATGGAGGTCGAATTAATCCAAGAGTTTCTCTGCTTCGATGTCCCACCTGTGAGAAGTACATTTCCGGACACCTTGGCTCAATCTCGTGCTTCTTACAGAAGGGCACCCACGCGCGCGCAAAGCTCGCGGTTTCCGTCATAGTTTCGAACATGAGCATCGCCGAACCATCGTCCGACAAATAGCACGCCAGCCTGCCACGTTTTCACAAATGAACAAAACGTTGCAAACGGTCGTTAACGGTTGATATAATCATAAAAACATAAAGTCACATGTCGTACTTAACCGGCTGCAACGTTTTGACAAATCAACAATGTCACCGACGCTTGTTATCGCTTGAATTAAACATCAATCAAGTCGATCCACATTCCGGACGTAAACGGTTGCGTTCTAAACGATACAAGTACTAGGAGATCAAGTCAATCAGATTGCAGGAAGGAGCCGGTTGAGTTTAAAATTGGAAAAAAAAAAACAAAAAAAACACGAGTTCCGAATGAGGTATATTGACAGACGACCTCGGGACTGGGGACGGTAAACTTTGGAACCAAAAAAAAAAAAAAGAAAAAAAAAAAAGAGGTTGACTGGAACAACATGCTAAAATGTGATAGCGCTTCTGCCAACGGTTTGACGTTTCGAACTTCCCGAATCCGCAGGCGTCGGGGTTTGTTAACTTTACTGGATTAAGATCATGTTGACATTACTGGGTTAAAATCATGTTAACTTAAAGAGTTTAAATCATGTTAACATAACTAGGTTAAAATCATTTTTTAACATAACTGGGTTAAGATCATGTTAACTTAAATGGGTTTAAATCATGTTAACATAACTAGGTTAAAATCATGTTTTAACATAACTGGGTTCAAATCAGCGGTGTGCACACGCGGTGACACGCTCATCGGTAGGAAAAAGGTTCCGACTTCCGAGGTTCAATTTGCTTTGTTTTGTTTGTTTTGAGTTCGAAAAGTAAAGATCACTTGGGGAGGTTGCATCGTCCTCATCTTGGCTCACTCCTCATCAGTCCTCTATGGCTGATAAGCAAACACAGAATTGCTGGTTAAAAGGAAAAAGTATCATCATTTGTTTCGCAGGTCAACAATGATAACCAAACACAGAATTGCTGGTTAACAGAAAAAAAAGTATCATCATTTGTTTCCCAAAATGGCAGCTCCTTTGGGCCTTTGGTCTCCCCAGGTTCGCCAAACTTTTCACGCACTTTTGCTTACCCTTATTAACTGCATGCCATATCCCGAATGTTCGGCGAAAACACCATCAACAAAGATTCAACAGCCATCTTCAAGGAGAATATATGACACCTTCATCGACAGAAAAATTACGAGCTTAGAGGGACCACCACCGGGAATCACTGGCCGTCACCACTGTTTTTTTTTTCCGTTTTTTTAATTATTATTTGGACCATTTCTCGATTTAGGCGTGTCATCCTTGCGCAGGGGCCATGCTAATCTTCTCTGTCTCGTTCCAATTTGAACGGATGTCCAGAGGGACGACTTCCTTTCTTTTTGGGGGGACAACACTGAGCCTCAAAACCACCACAAAGATTTGAACCTTCTGCATTGGATTTTTCGTCGATGATCCGATCTCAAGCTTCGAACGCGCGACCTTCCTCATGGAAGTTAGTACTTACTGTGTCGATGATCCGATCTCAAGCATCGAACACTCAACCAAACAACCCAATGGCTATGTATGTGATGGTACTTAGTAGTACTTACTGCTCTGCTGGGTAGTCGATAGCCAGAATAGACAGGATAACGTTCGCTGTGACAAGCGGAGGCTCCTTCTCGACATCGGCAGTGGTGACAAAGACGTCGATGGGTAGAAGCTTGCTCACGGGTCCGCTCTCGAACCTGCAAGTACGAAAGCGAAGAACGAAGAATGATATTCGTTGGCAAAACCAACGGGATCAGAGAAATCACTCAACGTACCGGCCGGCGGGAAGAAGTCGTAGAAACGAGCAAAAAGCAAACACATAAACCGACAAACAAAAAATAATTTCACGACAGACAGAAACAAAAGCTGTCCACGAACAAACAACCAAGCAGCACTTGTACCTGCAGCAAGGCCAGTTGTACGAACAAACAAGCTATCGTCGTCACAACGATAAGCATCATGATGTTCCTGTGCCATCATAGAAACATAATCTAATCGATCAAAATAAGGCAAAGCTTGTAGATAGGTTTTATTAATTCGGGCAGAATAATTTGACTTAACATTTTGGCATCTCTTTGGATGAAAAATGCTATCAAATCCAGCGGCCTAGCTCAGTTGGTAAGGATCGCAAGTGGCATTCAGGAGGTCATGGCCTGGGTTCAATCCCTATTGCCCTCATGTACCTTCCTGGGCTTACTTGGCACCCGCTACCCAAGAGATAGACCACTGGATCCCCCGATCGGCATCAAGTAGAGTCTGCTATGTTCGTAGGGGAGGGGCCTGAGGGGAGGCACGGGGGATTGGTCCGCTTTATCCCTGGTGCTACCGGTCGTCCCCTGGCCGGTATCCTGCAGACTCGAGGGGCCGTAAAAACACGGCTCTGGTATGCTACGGGTTTCCCCGTATGCCTATAGGTAGGAGTAGTGGTAGGTAGGTAGTGTGAGGAAAAATTGAGAGAAGAGTATAGTTTAAAAAAAAATAAAAAATAAAAATGCTATCAAGTCCAAAACCTTTTGCCGTTTCGTTGGACCAAAGCCTTTCGCGTGGCAGCCTCTATGGAAAAGGGTGATACCGTGATACTACCTATTACAGTATGCTGTCAATTACAGGCTCCAGTAAGAACACGAGGGATACAGAGTCGCATCACATGACTCATGACTGAGAAACACAACATGAGGCACGTGGGACTCGTTACAGGTCCCAGCGACATTGGTTCGAGTGATGTCCAGACAAATCCGCGGACACATGAGACACGTGAGACATGTCTTCAGGTACATACACACACACACAGCGATGGGCGTGACGAAGGCGGAATGAGACATGCATACGTGAGAGCTATTACTGTTGAGTATTATCATAGGGAGAACGGGTGGGCAAACCTTTTACAGAACGGGTACGTTTATTTATGTGGCTTATGATTGAGGTCCAGAGTCGCAAGGTCCAGTACTCCTCGAGTTATACACAAATATCATTGCAGTGGCTTACGTGGCTTACGATTATTTATGTGGCTTATATGGCTTATTTATGTGGGCTTATATGGTTTATTTATGTGGCTTATGATTATTTATGTGGCGAGACCTGGCGAGACCAAACGCGCGCTATCCAGAACCAATTTGACCATAAATTCGAATGAAAATGCATTCTTAAACAACTTGAAAGATAGGCTATGCCCATGGTCCTGCAGACAGGCAGTCCACGGACCGGACACCGAACAGTGCGGACACACGAGTGTGTGTGGCTGGTATGATTATTTGTAATCATATTTTTCTGAAGCCGTTCTTCCGCATCGCCTTAATCTTCGGCAATTTCGAGGAAGAATCGTTCAAATCGTCCGCTTTTTATCTCCTTTTAACTTTAGGAACAAATCTTCGGTAAAACTGTACAGCGACCTCTCACCTTGCCGACAATCTGTCGAGGTAAGTCTCTCTCGTGACGGGAGACCACTTCGGCGTTTGATCGAGAATCCAAGAGAAACCAAACCTGAACACAAGAAAGGACACCATCAGTGACTCATCACAGCCGAAAAGATCAAGTTCATCATCACAGCTCCCACAATTCTCGTAGGACGGTACCTAAAGACATACTTACCACAGATCCCATTTTTTTTTCAGTAAGACAAGCACCTGCTGGAAACCGGGCCCAGGGTCCCATATGGAAATTTTCAATCATTCTTCTCTTCATTTGAAACAACGGCGGAGTTAAAGAAGGCAAACAAATTGGCATAAAATGGACGTACCGGCACCGCTACAGGTCATTTTCCCGAGGGCTGTAGCAGGTACCGGTAGCGAACTTTCTTTCTTTTTTTTTTTTGGATCACAGAGGCGGGTTGGAAATCGGCTCGCTGAGCGGGGGTGTTGGAAAACGACTCGACGAGACCCTTTTTTGTCATGGCCCAGCCACGGGCGAGGCCTAGGCACGCCTACGCATCTCGGGCATGGGCCAGCAACGGCCATGGGGAAAAAAAAAAAAAAAAAAAAAGATAAGCACCAAAGAGTGGCTGCCTGATGCGCAAACATACTATCATTGAGTTTCAGCTCATTAAAAATTATTCAAAAATATCAAAAGATAGATTAGGAATTCTATTTCACATGTATATTCATGTATGTGTAATATACAATCCTATATTATACATTATAGTATTGTTCTGTAAAACAAGAAATTGTAGACGAGTGGCCGCCTGATTTTGCCACTTTCGAAGGGTTGAAGTGCACAAAAAGGCGTTCTTGTGTTGCAGTTTTCAAACTGCCCTCAGCCCGGAGCTGCAGTGCCCGGTTATTCCTGCGAATTCAAAACTCGACACCTCTCTCTCTCCCTCTCTCTCTCTCTCTCTCTCTCTCTCTCTCATGGAATCCAGAAATTAGTGTGTGTGAGAATTCAGTGTTTGTGTATCCATGTGCGTGCATGCGTCAGGGTAAGTCGTGGATTCCTAAAACGCACCAGACCTCACAAGAGACAGACATAACCCAGAGAACGAAGGCGTCGTAGTTTGGAGTCGTCAAGCGGAATCTCAAGAACAAAGCTAGGACAACGCCGCGAAGGAGCACCATCAGCCTGGCACAGAAACCACACAAACGCACAAAAGAGCACGCAGTGTCAGGACAAAAAGGTTATTCCATCAAGGACAGCCATTTTCTTTTTATTCCGTTACGTCTTGCCTTCCATGTGATCAACACTTCTTACAGCTGCAGTGACTGGACCGTATTCCGGGGAAGATCTGCTTTACTGTCATCGAGAGCACAAGAGTAGGGGGGGGGAAATGAGGGCATCAACCAAAAAACAAACAAAAAAAAAGCTCCTGTTACATCGCGGTTCTTAACTCCTTCCTCAGTTTTTTTTTTTCTTTTTGCTTTTTTGTAGGAGGAGATTCAATTCATTGAATCGTCAAATAGACGCCCGAGGACTTCGCAATTCGACCCGGAATATCTGACAGCATCAGCCAACTTAGCTTAAGCCTAAGGTCTTACCCCTGCGGAAGCGGCGGAAGAACATTGCTACAGACTTTCCTAGCCTCATGAGACTTCGCTTTCATGATGTACCTCCAGGCTCCAGCGATTGAACTTGAAGTTGAATTTAAGGGAGCAAACGGACCATCTAGTCGACCAACTGAAGGGAGTTAAGTGACAGAATTAGCGAACCTAGGTGAGCACAATAAACTCGAAAATTTGCAAGCGGGTTTTCAAAAGAAAAAAGAAAAAAAAGAAAAGAAAAAAGAAAAAAGAAAACAAACAATAAACTCGAAATTTAAGGGAGTAAATGGGCCCTGCTAGTGCCAGATTAGCTTGTGAATGGATTTTTCACCTAGATCACGGCTCGTTAATCCTGACATTACTTCAGCTGATAGATTGGATAGTGCATTAACTCCCTTCCCCAGTTTCCACTTGCGTTGAAAGCCAAAAAACAAAAACAGAAAAAACATGAATCATGTACGCCCATGATCGACGATTATCTGCCTTCATTCTGGTTTCCTTTTAATCTGCCGTTTTACACAATGTCATTCAGTTTATGTACCCGGCCACGCCTATCAGCGATGCCCAGGCAGTAGCTGTATCACGCCGCATGTCCTCTTACAGTTTTACTCTCCCTTATGAAGTTGACCTGTGGTGGTCCCCACCTGCACCATGTGGCACTCGAAAAACTGTTCGGCATCAGATTAGCTGCTCGAAATTCGAAGATTTGGATAAGCGTGTTGTATCGCCCACCTGCAGGTCGGGAGCAGCCCCGGATGTTCTCTCGTGAACACGGTTCTGGCTGCTGCGGGGTTCCCCGTATGCCTACAATTAATTAGGAGTAGTGGTAGGTAGGTAGTGTGAGGTGAAATTGAGAGAAGAATATAGCTTACAAAAAAAAAAAAAAAAAAAAACAACCGCCGAACTGTTTCCTGAACACGCATCTTTGGCAGGCGTACAGCACCCTCAGCCTGGGGGCGGGGGCGGAAGGGCCCTCAAGAATGCACATGCAAGTCGAAATCCCGGCCTGTGTGTAAGGAGGGAGGTAGTGTATAGTAGGGAGTGTGGAGGAGATAAATCTAGGGAATTACAATGCCCTGGTTTCCCTGTGGTAGGGGCTCCTCAATGTCTGCTCCTGGCTCCCCAAACCTGTACAACCTTTTGACAAAGGAAAAAACGCGACGGCCTGGCAGTGCTGGCACCACAGTGGACGTAACGCCAGTGCTCTATCGGGCCCTGACGTTACCTTTTGATGTTATTTCTGCCTTCTCGAACTAGGGCAGTGTCTTGGCTGCCCTTCGGTGTTTTCTTTGTCTTTTTTTTAACTCAAAAAGGTGGTATAAACGCACAGCTTTCTTTTTTCTTTTTTCTTTTTTAAGAAAGACCCCCTGTATATTCTGGAAGGGCAACAGTGCGTTTGCTTATCCCCGGCAAGCATGAAGTTACAGGGACAGGAAAGTGAAGATATAGCTCCACAAGGTAACCAATCAAGCACCAGGCAGGGGGTCGACTACCGTCTTCACCCGAATAGAACGCCCGGTTATTATAGCTGTATCTGGACTGAAAAGTGCACCAAATACGGCTATAATGACCGGGTGTTCTACTCGGGTGAAGACGGTAGTTTTCCCTTAAGCTGGACCTTAACTTATTAGGGCCAGCTTGCCCAACCATATGGAACTGTGGGCCTGCGCACGACACAATAGGCAAAGCACAACTGACTGAACCGTTACTAGGGGACGACCATGAAGTTCAGAGCAGAGCCCTTTCTACGATGCAATTTTTAGAGGCACACATAAATATAATGTGTTTCCTCTTTGTTTTTCTTATAACAAAGCAATTTGCGCTTCCTGCCGCGAACGTCTTTAAAGACTTGATCCTGGGTGGTAGACACTGAGTTAGGATGGTGGGAGTAGGGATGCGCCGGGGAGAATACGAGAGTGGTAGGTGGGGAAGGGGAGTCCCATAGGAAAAGTAGGGGGCCTCAGCCACATGGCCGAGTGCCGAAGGTGAGTCTCATATATCTAGAAAAAACAAAAAAGACTTCCGCAACAACGTGGGTTTCGCCCGAGTGACAGTTCCACTTTGAGCACTCGTCAAGCCAACGCCGGCCCAACGGCATCCGAATAGATTCCATGCAAAGGGAAAAAAAAAAAAAAAAAAAAAAAAAAGCAGTTCCTCATTTGTTTTGTAACAAGAAACTTGTTCTTTTTTCTATAAGGGCCCACTGCCCAAGGCAAGAAAACAATGATGACAGAAAAGAAGTTCAGATTCATGGGCCACGGGGCCTCCAGCTGCACTCAGCAAGCGGAGCCTGTCCGCCGTGAAAAACCATACCTCAAACATCAAACTTGAACACAGCTGATGCTATAAGATGTACAGGAAGCAGACGTGTAGGAGGCGGGGGGGGAAATGAAAAACAAAAAACGGGGGAGATGGAAAAGGTGTTCCTTGTTTGCTAACCTGTACGGTTGAAGAAGAGAATTCGGAATGGGAAGAGTTCTCGAAAGAGGTCTCTTCGATTCCTCCACTCTGCGCAACAAGGATCAACAACATTGGCAGCACAACGACGTCATCAAGTTAATTCAATTTGGTTTTATGGTCTTTTCTCCTCTTTTTTTTTTTTTTTTTCCTACCTAGGCTATATTCTTCTCTCAATGTCACCTTTCACTACCTACCTAGAAGCACTACTCCTAAGCCTATACAGTCGACGCCACCCTACCGTCTTCACCCGAATAGAACGCCCGGTCATTATAGCTGTATTTGGCACAACTTTCAGCCCAGATACGGCGATAATCACCGAGCGTTCTATTCGGGTGAAGACGGTAGCCCTGACCACCGGCTATGTTAATTGTGAGAGGTTTCTCGTCTTTTTGATACTAACTCTCGTATCACAGATCTCAACCGAACTCAAGTACAACTGACTTCAACTGAACTCAAGTTCTTGACTTCAACTTGACTTCAACTTGAGTTCAACCGAGTTCAACCGAGTTCAACCGAGTTCAACGGAGTTCAACTGAGTTCAACTGAGTTCAAGTCAACTGAGTTCAAGTCAACTGAGTTCAACTGAGTTCAACTGAGTTCAACTGAGTTCAACTGAACTGGTCAGACCCTCGTGCCAGTAGACCGAAGTCTTACAATGACCAGAGATCGAGGGCATTTGAGAAAGAAAACAAGCGCACGAGAGCGAGTGACGCGGCACTAGAATGAGCTGATGTCTCGCCGTCTCGTCGTGCTCCCTTTTTGCCGTCCTGGAGACGGAAGGGGTAAAAGAAACGAAATAGAACGATGACAGGTGCGATCCTCAACGAGAAAGGACGTTCACAACGGAAAGACAGACTGCAAACTTGAAAACAGAATTTGCAGAGAGTACAACCAACTTACAGAACAGTCGTGCTCCCACTGAGTCAGCAGCAAGGACAAGAAATTCAAGTTATCACCCTCAGAACACATAAAATTGAAAGACAATACGGTCTTAAAGCATATGAAGATTTGAAAATCGTAATCCTTGGTCTAAATGGAAAAAAAAAAAAAAAAAAAAAAAAATTTACTCCGATCACTCACGATATCTCTGTCCGCAAGTCCCTATTGTCTCTGCCTTCTCTTTTCTCCCCTTCGCCCCAATGAACGCTACCATAACCATAATCTTGCATGTTCTTCGCAGGATCCAAAATCTGCATGGAAAGCAGCGCCTCCCCCACTGCATCGCTGGACTCCGCCTCTTTTCCGTCGAAACTTCCCGCTCCCTGACAAGAGTGAAACACACCACCAAGAACGTGAGCCCGTTGAGATCCCAACTGCCAACTCCTAAGACCATCGCGATCTCGGGCAACTTTCCTCGTCTCAAAGACTGTGCGATCTGCAATTGCAAGACTGCAGGATAATAGGTCAAAGAAAAAGGGAAAAAATAACAGCAAGATAAAAATAGGGAATAGGGAAAAGGGATAGATCTCCCCCCACCCCAACCCCCCAACCCCCGCGACAAAAGGTTTGTAGTACTTCGTACTCGTTTACACCCTCCCAAAATGTCGGAGGCCCGAAAGGCTGGAGGCGCTGGGGGGATCCGTTTTTTTTTCCCTTCTTTTTTCTTTTTTCTTTTTTGCCGCCAGATTTCAAAGGCCTTGTCGGACCTTTTGTGACGGTTCGGGGGCAAACAAGTACAAACATTTTGTCGCCGGGCGGGGTGGGGGGGATCTACAACTTTTCCCATAAAAACACAGTACAACTGAACCGAGTCTGGATCTCGTCGACGTACGGAAGGTTCGGGAAGGATGAATGTAACTCAATGTGTCTCAGGAAAAAGGAACTATTTGATGAATAGACTTTAGCCCAAAAACGAAATGGAATAGACTTGAGTCAAAACGCAATGGATTTTCAATGATGATGGCAATAGACTCAAGTCAGGTTTTTTTTTGTTTAACCCAATGTGTCGCAGGAAACAGGAACTATTTTATGAATGGACTTGAGTCAAGCCGGATTTGTTTCTTAGCCCGAAAACGCAATGGCTTGTATCTGATCGAAATCCGAACACGGAATCATCCAAAAATCCTGACGCTCATGAACGGTGATGATGAACCTAGACTCAAGTCAAGTCTAAGTTGCAGAGATTGGAGAGCGAGGCAGTTAGGACGATGGACTTCTTGCTGCGATAAGCGGCAATTCCTAACGTTTCCAAAAATTAACGAAAAAACTCACATTCCACTGATCCCGTAAATCAAAAAAAAAAAAAAAAAAAAAAAAAAAAAAAAAAAACACGCTAGGCCTATCTTAACCCACGAACTGTTGAAATACAGATCCATTTGTTCAAATCCAGATGGCACCACATCAACAGACGAAAAACAAAACAGATCTGAATTACGCGGGGCCGGTGGAATCAAATAGTTCGCGCATCCCTATCAACAGGCTGGATTCCTATTATAGTTTTTTCCCAAATAAATATCCGTTCATTTTTCGAAAGCATCAAATATATGACAAATAATACGCTCATTTTTCGAAAGCATCAAACAAGTCTCACATTCCCAGTTCACGTTATAGTTTTTTTTCCCAAATTGGAAACTCTACTACAGCCAGCGAGACAATCTATCCCCATCAATACTTCAAGGACTTCCTCCAGTGCCTCGAAGAATCGAAGACACGGCTCTATCAAGCTCTCTTTGAAAAAACGAAATTAAAAAAGCAAGGAACATTGCTGCTCATTGCAAGAGCGTAAGTCGACCAGAAAAAAACTTCCAGATTGTGAGTACGATACGTATACATATTACATCCTGTTTCGTCTCCGACGTTTTATACCCAACATTGGGAGGGTAGATGAGAAATTCACGTTGTGAGTGCAATCGTCATTGGCTTACCTGTCCATCAATCATCATAGGTTTTTTTCTATATGTCTCTTCAGCGGGATCTGTCGGAAGTTTAGGGCTACCTGCATACAATGTCCAAGCGATTTTGCATCACGTCAAACAAGAGCCAGATCTCTCTCTCTCTCTCTCTCTCTCTCTCTCTCTCTCTCTCTCTCTCTCTCTCTCTCTCTCTCTCTCTCTCTCTCTCTCTCTCAATATATAGACACTTTGGTTACTCTGTTCAGAAAGTAACAGCTTCATTCCCAGGCTACAGTAAGAAAATAACTTCAAATCGGAAGCAGACAAAACGAGCCAAATATAAACAACTCCGGAACAAATGCACCGGAACGGAAAATTTCAAAGAAAATTTATCAAAAAGACAAACAACAAGCCAAAAACGTAGAAAATAAACAAAAGACTCGAAAAGAGTTAAAAAACATCAGAAAACAAATACCCCTGATGTTTGGTTTTCAAAACGAGGAACGAAGTACGACGTGGCCTAGCTCAGCTGGTACAACCACGAACTCAGGCTGTTGAAACACAAACCTGAGTTCAGATTCCAGTGGAACTAGATGAGCAGCAAGTTGATAACTTTGCATTTGCCTGGCATCGGTCGTCAAAACAAAAAAGGGTAATTGGCGAATTGCAGAAATAGCGCGTTTAAAAATAATAATAATAATAAATAAATAAATAAATAAATAGCGCGTTTTCGAAGTTTCACAGCAGAAAAGTTGTACGGGTCCGAAAGTGGGACCCTGCCTGCAAATATTTTTGCTGTGGAACTAACTGGACCTCTGCAGCTGCAACGAAAGATACGTTTTTGCAACGAAACTTGGGCCCCACCAATACTTTTGCTGTGAAACTTGGGCCCCGCAGCGCTATTTTTGGAACTTGGCCAAAAAGTAAAAACAGCCCAGGAACAAAGACGATTCTTTTGTGTTGAAGTTGTTCCGAATAGGAAGTAGTTTGCCTTTCTTTTTAGCAAATTGTTTATTTCCAAATGTCGTCCAAATCTAGAGCTAGCAAACAGATCTTCCTCTTTACGGACAGGGACCCTCGCCATTAAAAAAGGAGGCAAAGTCCCAACGTGCCTAGCTCAGTTGGTACACCCCTGAACTGTTGAATAACAGACTCTCAAGTTCCAATCCAGATACCTTCAGATGAAGAGAATAAAATCATTCTGAATTGCTCGAGCCCGGTCAGTTCAATGATGATATCTAAAGGCCGTCGCCCTTATAAAACAAAAGAAAGAATAAAAAAGAGGCAAACCCAAGAGCAAGAAAAAAGAGAGCTTGCCAACTATGTTCAATCCCTGACCCGTTATCTCATCATGACCTCCGTCTTTATCGCGACTCCTGTTCATCTCGAGTCCTATTCAGTCAAGTTAACGATGAGAACAAGGAAGGAAGAAAAAAAGGGGACAAAAAGCAACAAAAAAGAAAGGGGGAAAAAAAACAGAACGAGCATCGTTGAGATTACGCTACATGGATGAAATCAGGGCCGCAAAAAAAAGTTCAAGGAAGACATATCGAAGATCACGAACAGTCATGCGCAAGGTAGTCCCTGGGTCGACCAAATGCATCATCTGGAAAATCACTCTTCCATCTCGTAACATCTTTTTGCTACTTCCTATTTCTAAGCC